TGTCACTGCAACAAGTGAAGTCAGTGAGCCTTGCAACAGCAAGCGAATATCGGAAGATGGAAATCTAGACTGGAAAGATGGTTTCACCTCTTTTTTTGAGGGGAAACCTTAGCAAGAATATTATTTCATGTCAAGCTCCACTGAGTCTATGAGACCTTGCGGGAAAGTTTAAGACATATAAGTTACGAACAATTACGCGTGTCCCACCTCGCAACAAGATGGGCAAGCGTACTAACTTTATGAATAATAACTTTAACAAAGATTTAAAGATCAGGGCTAGAACAGGCAAAGTGGTCGTCTTCTACAACAGCAACTGAATTAAATCCTTAGTCCTATTGGTCTTTTGGCATGTTCAAACAAATGGGCTAAAATTTAGTTTAGGAAATGAAAAATTCAAAAGTGATAAAAAGCATACGGAGTACATCATAACTATTGCTGATTGATTAAAACTAATTCACAGTGAATACTACTTTATTGTACATTGTGTTACAAATTCATAGTTTCTCCGTTTTTTTTTTACTAGAATTATTTCATTTATCACCCTTGTCAATACGTAAATTTAACTATCAATACCTTTAATACACGTAAAAAATATAACAAATAGATTTAATAATGGGTATTCATAAATGGTGAATACAAAGAAAAGAGAAGGGATAGGGGATGGAGGTTGGACGAGACGGCTTCGCAAACTCTGTATCATTGTCGTCAGATTGTTGCAGACACTGTGGAGGGTGAATTGGTGATTCGATTAACAATCTCCAAACGGCGGAGCAGTTTTTGGAAATAGCTACACCAATCCTACATGAATTGTCGAAAAATACTCTGTATAAATTCTTCCATTTAGCAGTACATCTGAAAAATTTCCCCTGAGCTTCACATGATCAGAACCAATACAATTATAGCATAGGTTAGCTCCCACTGACATTTTCCGCTTCAACAATGTTAACTCTTCAACAGTCCAACCCAAAAAAACATTTAATGATACTTATACTACACAAAATTCTTTCTAAGACCTTATGAAACTACTATCTCACAAGCCAAAATTGTAGTTTCAGAAATGATTGAACGCATATCTACAGCATATAATCGTGCGACAAAATTGTTACATGTAAATCGAGATTACATTAAAAAGAATGCAGTAAATTGGAACTTGGGTTCCATGTCAACAAGGAATAGATACATCTTTAGATGGTACCATTTAATCCACTCTTTGCCCTCCTCTTTTGCAAGTTTGCATCATAATGTGCAAAAGCAGCATCCAAAGCCTGCATGCAAATAAGTTGACACAATCAAAAAACAAATTACAAGAATTATTCAGATTCAAGAATTCTCCATCCAGCTTTTTTTCAAGTATATTCAACAACATATAATAGAATATGATTCACATCATATAAACATAGTAATCATCAGAAGACCACGAGTAATAGAATATGTGTTCAGGTTGTTGGATGTAAAGTATTAATGGGATGTAGAGTATTAATCTGTAAAATTTCAGGAATTCTCAGTGCTAGCCTGATGGGCAATGGTTTGGTGCCAGTTGTGTCACTGTAGCCTTTATCTTCTCCAAATAACAGGTATAAGTTTCCTTTACATAGTAGTATGTGAACATAATTTCAGAAAAGGATAACCATAAACAGAACTTCAAAATGGATCTATCTAGCCTAAAACCATTCATTGCCATTCTGTATCATAATGTGCAATAGCAGCACCTATGGTTTGCATGTGACATGTTGCCCTCCTTAGAATGCTCGGTGCACGGGCACGCGTGTGTCTCCACAGAAACTATATCATGCAATAACAGGAGTATGACAAGCAAATTGGACTAAACTCTGTGTGTGTGTCTCTCCTCAGAAACTATATCATCTAATAATAAGAGTACGACAAGCAAATTGAACTAACCTGGACCATTGGCTGAACTAGAAGTGAGATTTGATGTCTGAGATCCGACGGCACAGACTCCTTAATTTGCTGCAAATAGCGGCAAAAGTTATGTAAAGATTAAATCCACTATTTGCTTGAAATTAAATAACGAAAGTCAGGGATCAATTCACATGCAAATAATGGCTCAATCTAGCAATCTCCCCAAACAGGCAACGGGGTCCCATCATCAGAGCCGCTCTTTACTTTATTGTTGCAAAGTAGTAAGCAATAATGGGGATATGCATCAACTATGTAACCACCATTGGTAAGAGACCTCAAGCACTAAAATGAAGGTCCACGGAAACAGAAGATCATATGTCAAGATGACATTGCCCATAGCTCAATCAATCACCATATAGTTTTTCAAAAAACCACAGCTCAGTACCAATTCAATCAACTGAAAATGCAGACACTATAGCTACTATATCTCAAGTTTATTACCCCTTCCCCAGAGTTTTCAATATTTGGACACAAAGTAAATATTAATAAGTTATAGTACAAGTTAGCTAGGTACTTTTACCATAACTTAGCTAGGTACATATACAATGATTCAAATATTTCCGATTAATGTATTTGTTTGATTACTTGATTCTACTATTCTTTATACAAAAAAATTTCTCATGGAGTCACAGGCATTTCAGAAACTATGGGTTTAGGTTGTGTACATCAGAATCATCCAAATTCCAATAGTTATCCCTCTTAAAGAGTACAAGGATAACTAGTTTGGAGTAGTAATAATAATAAATAATAAAAAAAAAAAAAAAAAAAAAAAAAACCTTGTTAGTAAGCAAATGATACGTAAATGTTATTGTTTAGCAGCAAAATATAAATGAGTACTTTATTTCTTGTCTGTATATTGAAATGATACAAAAAAAAAATGTAAAATCTCATTTTTCTAACCAATCAACAAACTAGTCGTTATAATGAGGAAAAATCATCAGCTTCTAAGCATCAATACAAGGGGCAGGGGCACTTTAGGTAGTACCGTAGTAGCATTAATAAGATAGATACTCATAGGGTAAGCATCATATGTAGAGGCCGTAGAGCAAATAAGAAAGCGTAAAGGCAAGCGACTTCTGAATATTTCTTTAGCTTTTAGATCAATAATTGAGAGAGAATCAAGCCTCATAAAATCTTCAATATTTTTAACCTGTGTTTTCCAGATTATACCACCTTCTTCTTCACTTAGATTCTACATTGACGGTGTCTAAGCTATGTGGATTTTTAGCATCAACAGCTCCCCCCCCCCCCCCAAAAAAAAAAAAAAAAAAAAAAAAAAAAAAACCAACACCAAAGCTTTATTCCCAAAAGGATGGGGTACACTCTATGAACCAAGAATCTATCTCATCTTCTCATGTGGTCATTGACAAAGACCCTCTTCCTCCATTCAGTTTTATGCAATTCTACATGCTCTTGCAAATACACTTTCTTCATATCTTTTCTAATCCCCCCAAAGTCATTTTTGGTTTCCCCCTGCTTCCTTAGAAATCTCCAATCATCCCAACCCTCCAACTTGACATCTTACATCCCCAAACCAATGCAGACATGGTAGTCTATTCTCCCTTATAATATTCTTATCAGCTTTCCTCCAAACATCAAAAGTCTTCATTTTTATCCCAAAAGGTGTCCCCACACATCCATCTCAACATATTGCTACACCCTTCTTAGAATGCTCCTTAAATGCCCAACATCTGACTTGTATAAAAAACTAATAATGCCTCAGTCTAATTGTTGGTTATCCTGTTAAATTTTCCTCTTAATCATAGTGGTGTTTCATTATCACACAATTATTAAGTTGGCACTCTCCATCTGAGTCAACCAGACTTGTGTAAAATCAATCCAAGGTACTTAAAACATCACAAATGAGGTAGCTGTTTACCTCAGTTCTTCCCCCACCCTCACCCTCACCCCATCCCACCAATACAAAGATGACACTCCATGTACCTAGTTTTACCCTGACCTAACCTAGCCTTAAATTGTCAAGACTCTAAACTGTGTCTCCATCGCTTCAGCTTAGCATTACCATAGCTCATCTAACAATACGATAATATTATTGTATTGATGAACAATAGAAATCATTAATCAATTCAGCTCAATTTATTTTGAAAGCATTAATACAACTTATACAGAGTTCTATAATAAGCATTAAAACTCTAACTCGTTGACTTTGAGCCTGCTCTGGTTCATAAATAACTCTAGCTCTGGAAAGGTGGTTTGAACGTAAACAAGAAATCAGAAGTAATGGTAGAAAGCAAAAGGCGAGAAGGATTTGTCACCTGTAGCTTTGGATATATCTGAGCCATCGCGTCTTTCAATCTATCAACCTGTAATAGAAACAAGAGAAGCAATCTCAGCTTTACCATAATAAAATGACACATTTTAACACCAATCCAATCTCATGCAGGAACTCATTATTTCAGTTTAAAACTGTACATATACAATAACAATGATCCTTGCCAAATTCCAGTTTGTCAGTTCCATTCCTGGATTTCAAGAGATCAAGTTCTATCCTGCCTCGTTCATAACCAATTAAAAGCCCATATAACAAGGAAAATTCGCATATATGTCAAACTGGGACTAGGAAAAGAAAGAACCTTATCCAGTAGTAAGAGAAAATAGAATAAGATAAGCTCCCTTAGTTCTGAAAATATCTTTTCTGGTTAAAATTAATAATTTTGGTCTGGATCTAGAAATAGAGCAATTCTTATAAGACACATGACAAGCTGCAAACATTTGCAATATTATATCAACTGCTAAGTGCAATTATGCCTTGATCCTCTCAGTATTATAAGCTATTCATACACCACAATTGTCTGTAAGCTTAGGGCAGCCAGACATAGTAATCCAGTAAGAAAAAGCAGAGATGTTCTCCATTAACATAAATTAGCCTTTGAGTTCTTCAGAAATTGTTAAGAGTTTCAAGTAGGTAATAGTTATAATATCAAGTAGCTCTATGAATCAGTAATTGCAAGATAGTATACCTTTACAGAAAGATGTTCTGTTGTAATTGGATATGACGACCAGAAGTGCTTTAGCAGCTCCTGAATGGATGTCCAATGCTGAAAAGAATGGTGATGCAAATAGTAGCATAAACACCAATAAAAAAAAATCCAGAACCCAAATATGCCACATAAACACATAAAGACCATGATTATAATTACAATGATACATGAAGATTGACATGCAAATTATCTTTTTTGATTGAAACCAACCAAGTTAGAATAATTGCTTTACCTGACCATTAAAAAATGTTATAAAATAAAGCAACCCACCAAGCTCATAACCTACTTAATTTCTTATGACTACTCAGGATATAGATGTATATCACAAAGTATAAAAAAGCTAAAGGCGCATTGAAGCGAAAAGGGATCTGCAGCGCCTAGGTGCGCCTCAGGCGCGCCTTAGTGTGCCTCTTTGGAGTGAGGTGCACTGTATGGCCAGTTAAAAAAAAGTGGCTGAAGTTTGGTTCAGGTGCGCCTCGGTTGCGCCTAACCAAAATCGCCTCGCCTAGACCGTATTAAGCGCATACCCCTCATTGCCTTGCGCCTAAGCGCCTAAGGCACGCTTTTTAAGACACTGTATATCACAATCACATGACTTAACTCTCCTCCAAGCAAATACCCATATACAGTTAACATTTTGCTAGGAACTGACATGGCTTACAGCACTAACAATGGTGGAAAATAAGAAGAAAACGTTGATTAAAGTATTATGATGAGAATTACAGCAGTGCAAATGGTAATTCCACTTTCGAGAGGTGGATTCTCTCCTAATATGAGTTTTTGAGAGGCTCACTCTATCCCAATGACAAACCCACTCAATATTCAACATATGCTTATTCGGTTATTCTTCCTAATGAGGCCTATTTGTAGAAAATTCCTCCTAACAAACCTCTAGATTATTCCCCAAGTTACTAATAATAGACTGTGACTAACATGCCCTTCCCCCAAATATTAATTCCTTGCACATTTAACAGTATATATCCATATCGGTCCCCTTCTGGTGTCCTACCTTTCCTTGCAACCAAGACAAAACTTGGTGGCATAAATGTGTTTGGTTGGTGGATTAGAAACAAGAAAATGAAGGCAGAATGAAAGAAGAGAGAGGATGCGGGAAAAAGAGAGTCACACAGCTGATGGTCCACTAGCCAGAATACCGACTCTCATTGAAATTTGTGTATGAGGAGCAGCTAGACATTTTAATTATCTTACTAAGGTGTTTCCCAAATTTTTTGGTAAAGTATACTCACAAAATCGACGATTTAAAAAGTGTTTTATGACAAAATCCTGCAAAGGTCAACCATTTTTAGCATAACATAGATATGAACTTAGTAAATGGTCTACAAAGCTATAGAGGGCCCAGTAATAATAATCCAAACAGATAGATTTTATTTATATAAATAAAAAAGGGGATATAAATGAGTAGTGAAGGTAGAGGATAAACCTTTTGAGACCTGCTATCTAGGGTCTCCCAGAAAATCATTGACTGCCAATGTTTCCTATTAAGACTTTAGATTCATATCTCCACTGAGCACTAAGTTGGAAATGTTCTAATTTTCTCAACCTAGAAACCCCATTAGTTCCCTAAAAAAAAGCAACATGAATATCTGAATTTGTATAAGGTACAAGTCATTCAGCACTATAGATGTTTAATAATAGCATCACAAGAGAATTGAACAATGCAGATACATCATGATTGATAGCCTAAACTCATGCAATTTACCAATAAACAAGCAAAAGATTATTAATAGGTTTTTTTTTTTTTTTTTAAATTCCTTAGATGCAGCATATGGTCACATATTCTCGCAGACATGTAAAATATTATTAAGCCAAAAAGGAAATTTGCTTACATTTAACAAATCCTCCTTCGTCTTGCTGGGCAATCTATCCAGAACAGTTTCCCGATTATTTCCCCCAAGATTATACTTTGTACTAGATATACTATGGGTCAAACTGGCTAAAACCTGAGCAAGAGTAATAATACATCAAAAGTTCGTACGTGAACAGAAAAAACTATCCTTTCAAAAGCAGATGAAACAATGAGGAAAAACTACTGTAGATACACACACCTTAAAAGCAACTTCAGCTTTAATGATTGATGTCTGAAGTCCCACAGACTTGATATCAGACATGGATTCCCTCAAAGAACTATAAGCTTCCTGCGTGTTAATGTGGCAATTCACATGTCTAGCTCCAACAGCAGTGTCTCCCAGGGAATTCAGTGCATTGGCTTGTTGTGAATAGAAATAATCTCTAGGGTCCTGAAACAATATAAGAGATGATGGAGATTCAGTTTATTTATACATCTGATGTTGAAGATGATGGAGATGATGCAAATAAGCAAACCTTGATGCAAAGCGGAGCCACAGGGGGTTCACGAGGTGCTTGCAGATCCTCAATTTCTGTCATTCTACAAACTCTATTCAGTCGCTCTTGGTTATCGTTCATTTCGGTTGTATCATTGGCCAGCTCTACTGCAAACATCCATTTCCAGCTTAGATTGAGGGGAAGAAGAATATAATGGACAGTTTATACATTGAAATTGAAAGATGAAAAGCTCACTAACCTTTTTTCATCCGAGCAAGTGCCTCCGCAACAATTCGAGTGTCCCCAATCACCACATCTAGCATAAGTTCAACAATACAACGGGAAAAAGGTTATAAGCCTCAATTTTAGAGCAAAATTAGAGTTCTGCAGATTTTTACAGTTAGCTGGTCAGATCTTAGAAATTTGGAAGCCACTAACCTAGAGCTCTTCCCTCAAGAACAACAGCAGCATGTCGATTGAGATCCTGCGACAAGTTCCTCTTGTATTGGTCATAATGTGTCTGGGACTCTGCAACTTCTTTATTTCCATCTCGAGGATTTCCATGATCCTATTTAATAACAAGAGAAAAAGGGTAAGGAAATTCTAGTTTAAACAACTTTATTTTGTGGCAAATGCCTTCAGGTGCTTCCATAAAAATACAGAATTTAGGATATGTAGGCAATGGGTCCAAATTAGGATATATGTGAAGCTTAAAGAACAAGAGCAGAACTACTAAGGTGTACAATAATACTCAATATACCGGAAGGTGAGTGTAATCATCCCCTTGATCAGCTTCCATGTCTAATGTTGGATCAACCTTTCTTATCTGCACATTTCATTGCCAAAATTAGCGTCGAAACAGAGCTTATTTATGGAAGCATAAAGGAGCGAACAAAAGAGAATATATCCTCTCAAGACCACCTTTCTACGAGCTTCACTTGCTAGTATATAATCCTGCTTTAGAAAAACAGCAAGCTGCTCATCTTCAGCAGCTTCTGCTGCAGCAGCTATGGCATTCTTGGTGCTGTGAAGATATTCTGCTCTGCAGTATTTGGTCCAAAAGTCTTTCTCGGACATCTGATATTTAGGACAATAAATTGTACAAATTCAATTTATTTATACATTTAAAAGAGCAAATAACAAGTGCACAAAAAGTTTCGGGAAAATAAGAAAACCTACCCTTTTTGGCACATAAGTCAGAAAAGCCTGATGAACTGCTGGCTTCTCAGCAAAAATCTGACAGATTTCACAATAGATATACATTACCTTAACAGAAAAATCCACCAAGAACAAAAGTTACAGCTAATAAGGATGATGGTTATACAACGGTCATGAGAAGAAAAACAGTTGAAAAAGAGATGCTCGCTGGACTAATACTATTCAATTATAAACTCGCCTCCAACAGATACAGAAGGGGAGTAAGGTCAAAATACGCCAAAATTGTTACAGGTATGACAAACGCCAATTCTATATAATATTGTAACAGTGGAAACCTGAACCCCCCCCCCCCTATGAGCTCAACTCAGTCAAAGCCTGGTCTAAGGTTGATTTAATTGAAACCAATCCTAATTCTAGTAAGTCCAAGCTCAGGTTGGCTTGCCCTAAATCATTTTTCTTAATCATGAAGCCATGGAAAATTATTTGTAAGAAAATGTCTTTTTTGGGAATAAATTAGCATATAATATCCATAATTAATTCAAAACTTGAACCAAACATGATTATATTATGCATAAAAAAATGATTATATTAGTTATTTAAAGAAGATATTTTTACATAACTAAAAAAATCTTTTCTTTAAATAATAGTTCAAACTTCAAAATGATTTGGTGATTATTTTTTATTGAGAAATTGCCATATTCGGATATGTCTAGGGTACCTATTGTTTGTTTAGCAACATAATTTTTTCGCTCAAGGGGACTTTAAATAATTAGAGAGGGGGTAAGAACAAAGTACAGATATGGACCCTTTACTAGACACTAGCCTTAAACTACCAAGATAAAATTGAGTAATCAACCTAAGAAGTGTCTATGTGCAATTTAACTGGTTGTCTTGTTTATATCTTGTTTTCTTCTAGGACGGATTCGAGAAACTCAAGTACCATTGTAAATCTTGCGATAGAAGGAAAATGAACATCAAAAAATAAATAAATAAATAAAAGGCAAAGATCTCACTGCATGAATATGAAATAAAATAAGCCAGGAAAGTCTAATGTAAAGAAATCTTGGTAATTTGTATTCCAAAGTGTAATCAAGCAAAGAATAAGACGAATGAGGTAATACCTGATGAATGATTTCTGGTGTCAAGTTAAAGGTAACTTTATTTGTCTGAGAGGCAAAACAAGAAGAGAGAATTAACACATTGTTAAAAACAATAGTCTTAACAAGCAACAAAAAAGATAACAGAAGAACTAGTCAATGCATCATGCATGAGCAGTAAAAGGTATTATAACACTAAGCACTTTTTATAACATCCCACTTACAATCTTTTATTCGCAAAACCCAGATCTAGTAGATTAAGAAGGCAGCTACTCTGTAGGTTTTAAAGAATTTCAGAAAATTTTGGCATCATACTTTCTGCATTATGGACAGATAACAAGGTAACAATTTACTTCACTAGTTTAAACAAGTTTCATTCCACAATCACAGCAATAGAATCTAGTCATCTCATAAAGCACGATAAGGTGTCACCATATAGTAATCAAGACCAATTCTGAAGTATAAGCCTTTCCGTAATATAGCATCTCGGAACAGGATGGTGTCATACTTACAAACTATTCTAGTTAAGTTTGGCTTTAGAAATAAGAAAATGAGCAGAGAGTTGCAACTTCACAATCACGACAGAAGACTGTCTAAAATGCACATAATATAAACACCTATGAAGTTCTCTGCAGTAAAATAAGTTTAAGAACATATTTCTTGACATCCAGAAGACAATTTTTTATGACAATTATTTGCCTGAACATGGAAATAAATGATTCTCTAACATTCAATTCCCAAACTCAAATTCTCTGCCACATAAAAAATGCACTAGGAATACAATGAACAACTGCTTCACTCAAAAAAGGACAACAATGTGTCTCCATTAACTCCAAAACATTGTAGACAATGAAACCGTGAAGAATGATTGATTTTTCTATTGAGATAGAAAGATAGATAGTGATGCTCAAAAGTCAGAAATCATATCTATGGGTGAAGATGTGGTTGGCCTAGTCATGAGCTACAAAATCAGTTTGATCAAAATTCATCCAAAGGTCCACTTGAAATTAAATGAGTTCAGCTGAAAACAGCTAAGCTCTTCTAAAAATGATCATGAGAAAGCTCAAGCATAAGAATTAAAGAGAATATCTCACACAAAACCCTACTAAACCAGAGAAAAAAAATATATAGGTACTTCTAGAAAAGCCCAGCATAGAGTCCATAACCTCAAATCAATAATATGTGGTTCACTGTCTTTGTGAATACAGAGGTTGCAAAGAGTCCCCCGCCCTCCCCCAAAATAGCGTGCACATACACACTCTGTACCAATTCAACAAATCCAGCACATTCAACAGCTTATTTAGGGAGTGAGTGAGAGAAAGAGATTTCACACAGTACCCGACCATCAGTTAGTGGCTTGATGTCTGATATCATAGCACTTTTAAATCCCACTCGCTGGGTTGAAGATGATCTTTTGTTTCCACCATCTAACAATTTCTGCAGAGTATCATCAACAAGAAAAAAAAGAAAAGCTATTATTTTTTATTTTACCATATAAATCATGTTCACTAAGAGAGTGAAGATATGGAAAAAGTACTAGCTATTTGTGATATCAAGAATAACTGGTGAACATAGTCAAAATGACAAATTCTGTTGAGTTACCTTTCTAGTTGCCCAAAACTCATCCTCTGTCAAAATTTTACCAATTACCAACTGTTTATGAAGTTTCATAAGCTCACTGCAAAAAATAACCAATATCCATATTCAATAAACCTTGTGGGAACAAAACATAAGAAAATGAGGTTCCGTTGCTCTCGTCATGGTAATTTCCTGAACCAACGGGCCTTCATGGCTCCGATCAGTAAAAATGGAAATCCTTCGACATTTAAACACTGTTGGTCAGTTACCTGTCTTCTTGCAAAAGTTTTATTCGTCGCTCCATTTCTTCTGAACTTAATTGAGCAGGTCCTTCAGAATCCTTTTTGGGAACATCTGGGTGCTTCTCAAGGGCCTTGGCTGTTCACAATGTGTCATGCTAAATATCATCAGGACCAAAAACTTTAACCATACCCCTACGTTTAAAAAAAAAGGGATAGGAATTTCATGTCACAAAGTGAAGAATTACAAGCAACATCATTAATATTTAGGTCTTGGGAACTTGATTTGAGTATAATGTTGCACTAGTAGATTATGCTCTAGTAAGTTCTGGCAGAAAAATTGTAACCACACTAAATAAAAAAGGCAATCTTAACAGGGTAATAGTTATTCAAAGGCCTTGTTTGGTAAAGTGATGATAGATGAGATTCTAGCTTTTTAAGAGCAATTAGATGATTTAACCACAAATCAGCTACTTTTAGAGTTTGAAAAATAGATGATTGAAAGAGTTTTTAGAGTTCAATAATCTAATTTGAAAAGGCTGCTCGACCAACTTTTTGTAAGAGTTGTTTTAGTAATTTCCTACAATAAGCTATTTTGGTCTATGGTGTTTGGTAAAATAGATGACTTAAAGAGCTAGTTAAAGCGACTAATGCGACCAACTAGTCAAACTAGATATGTCGGCCAGTTACCAGCTAATTATCAACCAGGGTGTAAACCCATGTCTCATAAGAAGTGGTGGAATTAATGATGCAACTAGTTGACATTGATTGGCTTAGAATGCATATGTTACATTTATACAATGAGTGTACCATAACAGGAAGAAACTAGATAATCTAGCACATAAAAAATCTACTGATCAGGCAAAAAATCATTCTACAATCCATAGCATGACTAAAATTAAAAATTAGAATAAAGGTATAGCAAAAACCCCACAATTATATAGACTTCAAATGGCTGGAACACAGTGACAAGAGCACAATCAGAAAAAAAGATTGACTTCAAATTGGCTCAAATGACCAAACAACAAATCCTTCCACAAAACTCCGTATCCTATACCCCATGTCAAGCATAGATATTCTCATATAAATCTTTTATTCCCACTAACATCAGGACATCAACATAGACTAAGCAAAGATAGCTAAGAGAAAAATGCACTATGTTTAACACCAGCATTTCATCAATTTAGTATACACATGATATCTGAGAGTATCTAATGAACAGAAGACCTAGCAAAGTTCTACCTAGCAGCAAACTGTCCTGAATATTAGTATAGCTCAATAAGGGGGAAAAGACAACATAACCTAATTTGTCACTTGTGCTTCTTTGCAGATAGATATGTGCACACCAACTAGCGACTATTAGCTAGGTTCCAGAAAATAACACAGCAGAAATTCATATCCCTACCTTATAAAAAAGTGAGAAAATACTCTTATGAATAGTGCATGGACATTTATATCCCTAAAAATGTTCTTTTACATATTTACCCTTATTGAATTCAAAAGCCTTAAAATTGTCTCTTGAATCACCAAAATTGATTAATTATTTGTGTTTATTTCAATATTTAAAGCATTTTTTAGAGTTTAGACTCCATTTTTACACTCCATTTTTTACAAAATATGTGATTATATGATGACTTGTTTAATTTATTTAATTAGTCTCATCAATAAGTACTTAAAAATTACTGTGCAAATAGATATAATAAAAATATATACCATGCAAATATGCATAAGGCATAAAGACCACCAATAATAATTCTCCTTAAAGGGCTAGCCATCTGCGCACGTCGCGCGCGTAAGAATCCCTAGTACATGTAAAAATCGATCTTGCATCACATTTATAAGTCACAAAGTCACTCTTTGCAATGTTGCACCAATCATGCATGACATAGTTGGATTCACAAAGCAATAACAAACCTAAGTGGTGCTATAGACCAATTTTCAGCAAAATTCCTCAAAAGATAATGTCAGACACCGAAAAATATATAATTAATGTCATAGTTCAATTTTAACTTACTCACAAAATCCCGACACATATCTCTATCGCTGAAGTTCTCAAATTCAAATATATACCCTTCTGATCCTTCACCCTAGAAACAAAGATAACAACAAAATCAAACAATAAAGTTTCTGAGTTACATAGAACAACAGAGCCACTTTTATGCTGATAGAAAGAAGGCATGACTACTAGTTTAAGCTAATTGTATTAGCTGATTATTAAGTAGTAATAACTGAATTCAAACTCAAATTAAGGAGGTGTTTGGTTCACAAACTCTAGATGTGAGGTAGGGGTTTAGAATGGTTTAAGCCTATATCATGTGTTTGATTGATGATTTTAAATCTTTTAAACCCATACTATAAAACCCCAAGGTTTGATATTTAGAAATCTAGGGTGTGTGTGGGTGTGGGGTTGGGGTTGGCTCATACCAATACTTTCAAGTAACAAACCAATTCTAGAATTGAGCCAAAATCATGGTATTAAGAATTGAATTCCAAACCCATACTACATGAGTTTCATTCCTGATTCCAACCCTACACAACTCTACGAACCAAACACCCTCTAAGAAGTAAGAACACCAATCAAATTATTTAAAACAATAGATGGAAAAAACAGAACCTTCTTCAGCAAATTAAGTAGTGCCTGTTTACTTGATCCTTCTTTGGTGACTCTGTGAGCTGAATAAACAGGAAGGAAAACAATTAGTCAATCAAAGAGACATCCTTACAAAGCATAAGTCATCAAAGATATAAGATGATTGATTGCTAGAACCACGTTGAAATAACTATTACAATCTCTTACGTCGACAAAAAGATAATATGAAATCAAGTTCCAGCCTCCCAACTCACAAGGCCATGAGCCAAATATGACGTTAGCAGTAAGAGATAATAGCCATCCAGTAGTGCTGTCTATTTACATGCTTTGCCATCAAACATATAAAAGAACCAGGATACAAGAGCTCAGAAATAAATAACAGGTTAGCTAATAAAATAGATAATAGACATTCTCCAAATTAGTTATTATATAGCTCTTGGATGCTGACCCTAAAAGGGCTCCACTGAGTGAATTTGAATAGCTAAATGGACCTTAAGAAATATTTCCTAGGCAAAGGTGGGTTTGAAAATATTTAAATGTGCATAAGAACAGCTTCATTAGCGGTTGGAGGTGCTTGGAACCTTGAACGGTTGAAAAATGCTGCTAGTTTGGGCCATTTGGCTGCTATAGAGGTCGGTGATGATCCTAGTAGCACCATCTTAGCAGAGACCCCAGAGACCGACAATCATCTTCTGTAACTTGTATCTACAGTCAAGCATGTATTTCTGGTAAATCGAGTGGTCATAGGTTAAGACTTACTTCCTCCGTTCTTTTTTACTTGACCCGCTTTGACTTTTACACTATTCACCACCCCTTCTTTGACCATGTTTTGTGAATAATATGTAAGGAAAAACATATTTATGTTGATCATTTTGAATTGGTCTCAATAAGAACTATCATAATATATAACTTTTATATTTTTTAATTTTGGTGAATTAAAGTTATTAACTGTTAAAGTTTTGCATTGGCAAGCGTGATAAGAGAAACAGGTCAAGTAAAAAAGAACAGAGGAAGTACTATATATCTGACCTTAATGATAAGAAGGAACGTCTAAAACATTTCATCGCCTTTTTAATATTGAAGGAGTTTCACGCTTTGTGCTTTAAAATCCTCGACAGTTGTAACCATGTGTTGAAAGTTTACTTACTATTAGCTATGAGCTTTTAGTGTTGCATATATAGGATACTAGGAAATAGGTTCTCTTAGCCCTTACAAAAAAATATGCCCCAAAATAAAGTTCAACAAGCTCTAATGGTCTTAGTTACAAGCACAATTATCACCAAAACTTGTCTTGAAAGCATGATTTACTAAATGTGCTTTTATGACCCCCTTACTAATCAAATCACTTTACTTAATGACCACATATAAGGAATGCGAAATCAAGTGCTATTTCCAGCCTCCCTCACAAACCAACAATGGAAATTGATGAGGTTATGTAAAAATCACATGAATATTCAGTAAAAATAAATTGGGGGTATCCTCAATACATTTATTTTTTTTAATCATATCTATTTGAATCAATCTATGTCCCTGATTAATGTACAATAATTCCTTCATGATTTCATAGCAATTCCAACACTTCTAACTCCCATAGCCTTTGAGTATGAAAATCCCTGATTAATGTACAATAATTCCTTCATGATTTCATAGCAATTCCAACACTTCTAACTCCCATAGCCTTTGAGTATGAAAATCTACAGCTCTCTCTAATTGAACCCTAGGGAATTCAAGTTATCAAGAACTCAATTATTAACCTAAGAAACATTACATACACTGATACATATCGTACTCTCAACCTCACGACACTAAATACAGCCAGCCATTTCTAGCACACACTATCAAGGACAAATAAAAGTCAGAAGCAATATAGAACATATCAAAAACCCTCATCTTCATCGCACCCTACTCAGTTTGCGCGATTAACATATTAGCCCTACTAACCTCAATATTGCTTCTCATTTAATTACTACAGCTCATAAGAACCAAAACCCAATTCTCAAGCCCCCAATTAACATCAAGAATACCATTGGTACAACTAACTCTAGACGTAATCAGTAACATAATAAACAGAATTCTGTCACAAAACTATTAATAAATCATTCACTCATTACTCAATCAAACAAAAACCAATTGTCGTACCTTTAATGGAATTGAAACGAACTCGAAGCTTCGTTCCAGAAGTGGGATCATTGGGGGCAAAAACAAACTCATCCATAGTCTGCAACAAGAAACAAAAACATTATACATTCAAAAATCAACCGATTACAAAACTCAAATTGGGAAAAAAAACCCAGAAAAATTATGAATTTGAATACCATCTTCAATACTCCAGGGTTTCCAGGGGCCTTCGGAGAAACCTTATACTTTGCACGCTTCACCAACATCTCACCACCAGACCCCATCTTTGATTCAATTCGATCAAAAAAAAATTCAATTAGTTTGAAACCCTTCGAATTTCAATTGGGTAATGTATAGTTTTATCAAATCAAAAAAATCAATTGAATTAAAATATAATGAAAATGGAGAATTTGGGTGGAAAATTCGGTCAGAAATCATGAATATCGGTAATCTATTCTAAATTGAGCAGTTTCATGTGTAAAATAGAGTCCTCTTAATAGAGAGTGTGTGTGTGTGTGTTTTTTTGCAGTTGTTTTAAGCTAGCGTTTGCAAAAAGGCTAGAAATAATTGGAGATTTTGGTTACTTTTTCAAAGGAAGGAAACTACTTGCTTAGGAAAATTCTAGAATGGTTCCTTAAAAGAAAAACCGTCATAAATTATACAATTACGAGTATTAATTTATTAGAAATGATTTGTTTTAGGAATACCTTGAATATGGTTAGATGATTTGGTTTTTACCTACGAATAGAGACACCTATGCTGACCTTGAAAAGTGATCGATATAATATAACCCTTTCTAATGCCTAAGTCATCGTGCTAGAGAGAAGATATGTGTTCGATCTAGGCCTCTTAGTGTACAAGTGTAGTGTGAAAATGTGAAATGGCGTAACTTTCTAGTTCCTTTAGCGAGGGAACCTAGCTATGACTGTAATGGTTTGTATATTTGTGAAGGAGAATCACAAGAATTGAAGATTAGGTTGATTTTTAGTTACTTGTGAAACAAAAACATAAGAATAGATCATAATCAAATATAGATTTTGAGCTACTTCATTCTTATAAGTCCAATGAATAACATCATTGATCAATTTTTTGTTATTACTGATATGGAGAAAAGAAATACAAGCATTAAAGTTACTCCACGATTTTACTTTTTTGGGTGTAGAGAGCGTCACAAGGCAATAATGTAGACGAGAATGATCCTACATGTCCAAGTCTTGGGTACCGCCCATAAAACTTTGACATGTGCACGAGGGAACGAAGGTAAATAATAAAAATGCATAGCTAACTTGGAAGATGAAGAACAGTAGTTGGTGTATCCCTTTGTTAAGAAAATGCGTAGAATGGTAGTTGCGCACATTATTACATCTAATGATCTAAGATACATTTTCACCTTTTGACATTATTTATAAGAATTCATGCACACTTCTTTAAATTTGATAAAAACAAGTAAATCAAACATTAGTATTCCACCAAACTTTGACTGATCACTTCACACTTCATAGTGATCAGTTACATTTCATGGGCTCATCAACAAGAGGAGAGGAGTACCAGACGTTGTTGCTTGGGTTAGACTCCCATTCACGAATCCCGGACCTGTCTTCTGATGTAATCGAAGAGTTCTTGGCCCACAAACCAGTGGCTGCGAGGTGGTGGACTCGCCTCATTGCTTGGGAGTCGAGGCTTTTGTGGATCCTCTCTGGAGCTTCCATTGTAGTGTCTATCTTTAACTACATGCTTACTTTTGTCACACTCATGTTTACTGGTCATTTGGGTGCCTTGGAGCTTGCTGGTGCCTCGGTTGCTACTGTTGGGATTCAAGGCCTTGCTTATGGAATCATGGTATGTATCATTTTGCATTAGCTAATTGTCTAGGATTATCAATAATTTTAGTTTGAGTTGTAATTTTTCCTATGTTTGATTCTATGTTTCGCAGTTGGGAATGGCTAGTGCAGTACAAACAGTGTGTGGACAAGCCTATGGTGCAAAGAAATACTCGTCGATGGGGATCATATGCCAAAAGGCGATCATACTTCATCTAGGAGCAGCCATACTCTTGACCTTCTTGTACTGGTTCTCAGGTTCTGTCCTCAAAGCCATAGGTCAATCAGAGAGCATAGCGGAGCAAGGACAGATTTTTGCACGCGGTATAATCCTTCAGTTATATGCATTTGCTATAAGCTGTCCGATGCAGAGGTTCCTTCAAGCTCAAAATATTGTCAACCCTTTAGCATACATGTCGGTTGGAGTGTTCTCATTGCATATACTCTTCACTTGGTTGGTTGTCGAAGTTTGGGACTATGGACTTCTTGGGGCTGCTCTTACTCTGAGTATCTCCTGGTGGATTTTAGTCATTGTGAATGCGCTTTACATAATTTTCAGTCCTAAGTGTAAGGAGAGTTGGACTGGACTCTCTGTCAAGGCTTTCACAGGAATTTGGCCTTACTTTAAGCTTACAGTTGCTTCTGCTGTCATGTTATGGTAAGTGATTATCTGCTTGCAAAATGTTTGATTTTTTTGCTTAGTTTTAGTCTAACTCGTCGCTTTCTGACATACAGCTTAGAGATATGGTACAACCAAGGATTGGTGCTTATATCAGGGCTCTTATCTAATCCCACAATATCACTAGACTCGATTTCTATATGGTAACATAGTTGATAACATATAAATTACAGTCTTGAGTATTAATTTTTCATCTGGTTTTTGTTTTATGTCTAATATTCCTCTGCATTCCAGCATGTCTTACTTGAACTGGGACATGCAGTTTATGTTAGGACTAGCTGCAGCAGCCAGGTAATCAGCTGAACTAGTCTAGCCGAAATTTATGCTTACACCTTTTCAGTAAAATTTAGGAAAACTGTTATACTAGTATTATTTTTATGTTTTTGTCTGACTACTATATGGTTGTATGATCATACAGTGTAAGAGTGAGTAACGAGCTAGGAGCAGCACATCCATCAGTAGCAAAATTCTCGGTGCTGGTAGTGAATGGGACTAGTATACTAATTAGTATAGTGTTCAGTGCTGTTGTGTTGATATTCAAAGTTGCATTAAGCAAGGCTTTTACCACTGACTCTGAGGTTATAGCAGCTGTATCTGACTTAACTCCTTTGCTCGCCATCTCGGTTCTCTTGAATGGCATTCAGCCTATCCTCTCTGGTAAAGAAAAACATATGAAATAAACCATTTCCTCCCCAAAGCAAATTTCTTACCTGAAGATGTCCAAAGCATGTAGAATATATGCAAGTAACATTAAATTTTATTAAATTGTTAACTTCTTTGTGTTTGAAAATATTTTTCAGGGGTGGCAATTGGGAGTGGATGGCAAGCTCTTGTGGCATATGTGAATCTAACAACATATTACATTATCGGTCTACCAATTGGCTGTGTACTGGGCTTCAAGACGAGCTTAGGAGTTGCAGTAAGTATCAATCGGTTGTTACGTTGTCCCCCATTCGTAGGACTATTAGTTACATTAAAACAATCAACTCCGTAAATTTCAGGGGATATGGTGGGGGATGATCATTGGTGTTCTGTTACAAACTGTAACATTGATAATTCTGACTGCTCGAACCAACTGGAACACTGAGGTACAAAATATATATAGGACAAGTGAATATTATTATTTGACATTTCTTGTGTTTATTTATGTATCATAAGTTGAACTTTGTGTGCATTTGTCATTGAAATCATGACAGCTAGTCTTTTTGCATAATTAAACAGGTTGACAAGGCGATTGAACGTTTAAGGAACTCAGCAAATGAAGAGACGACAGCTCTAATCTTGGAGAACACTACATAATTAGCACAATTTTGGCTTTCGCGGAACAATAAATAAACAGTTTTGTCTAGTTTGTTTGTCCACACATTCGTTCTCATGTCATATTCAACTAATCAACTGGGTGACTTTAAGGAGTGAAAGTGACTATTTCACAAATTTTCAACACTTTTTATTTCGGACAACTTTACTCTATCAACAATATAACCAAATATCAAGGCTATTTTCAATATCATTTACCATTTGTATGATTAATTCCAGTTTAGCAGTAGCTTCATTGTCTCATTGGTAATGATTTCTAATCCTGCATCACTAATAACTAAACGATCGACTAATCGAATCGATGGAGGTTGGTGTATACAAGAAGATTAGTTAACCTTTATCTAAGTCTATAGATGTGAACATAAATTATATCCGCACAAAGAAGAATATATTCTGCTAGGATATCCACATCAACATTAACCTGATGTTGCATCCTTTGTTGTACAGTAGGAAACATGATATTGACACGAGTTGCCTTTTTTTACTACTTAACTTCAAAATAATATCGTAATCAAGGTCAAATCTGTATGATTGAGACCTTTGCAGCAATAATGAGTATACAAATACAGATTACATAGTAGCACAAGTATAGTACTTAACCTACTAGTGTTACAGCATGCATGAGGTACATAAATTCGATTTTTTCCATATCTTTTATAGGGTTTAATACATAGAGGTACATGAAAAGCGACGTTTGTTGTACAAACTCTCAATACACCTTCTCAATTATTAAGCAGCTAATAAATGAAAATAAGCCTTGTGCAAACATCAGATACAGCTTTTTATTTATTTTACCAGATGCATGGATAAAACGCGACATAGAAGAACTATAGTTCCTTAATCTGAAATTTTGAAACATTTTTTTTATTTCTTTTAGTTACAATATAATATAGTGTTGGCTCACTTTCACGTAGGCTTGAGTTGTACTTATTTTTTGAATAGGCAAGAAATCAAGTTTTTCAGTTTAGCTCCAAAGGCAGAAAGTGAACCATCAACACTCATATCTGTCTTCTTATCAAATTGGAATGGTGCTGTTGGTCTAGTCGCGTCTAGAAGTACATCAACAGGAATCTTCGGCTTTGATGGTCCTAATGGTTCAATGGAGTTTCCATACTTCTCTATCTCTGGACAGTAATTCTGTAAACAATAAAAGTGGAAATATAATTTAGAAAACTCTCATCTGAAAACTGTCCTGCTATATTGACAGTATCCGAAAACAAATTAATTGTGCTTACTTGGTTAGCATGCATTCGCTTGACAAACTTCTTAAACAGATTTAAGTTGTTATCTTCCAGTAGATCACTAGACAGACGAAGATAAGTAAACCCAAACATCTTCAATGCTGGGGCTCCATTGCTGTTAACACCATTCGGGCGAGCATTTAACAGGATTTGATTGTAAGCTGTGCTGTCATATCTTGGAAGTGCATTTTCACCAGCAACTTTGACGTTCTCTTTCCATCCATCACTTAATACCTGCAAATTAATCACTTTTATAGGTCAATTTATATTCTCAGAACATGTGAATGGTGCTCTAACTCCAAGACCAGATTGTTCGTTGTAACACGTGTCATCTCCTGGTGTGTCCTTAGTTTTGTTTTTTTTGAAGCTATATATGATGATTTCCTAACCTGTCGAACAAGTGCTTCAGGACCACTGTAAGCTTCAGAAGGCTGTTCAGTGTCCCTCATTTCAAGACACGTAAAATTCAAGATGGCGTTGTGCCTAGTAAGCATCCTTGCAATTGGCCGATATCCATCTCTACTATACAAGTTATAGTACCCTGCAGTAAGCTCAGCCGCGTGACAATGATAGTTGTACCACCAATGAATCCCTGATACCTTCATACCAATTAATTAATACAGCGTAATTAGTACAAGATTACATCAAATCCATGTCAAAGTTTGTGTCAAGTTATCATTAAATGAAATATGTATGTCAGTTAAATGAACGATTTGAAGACCATATGTACTTGGATCACACTCCCAAACTTGTTACGTTCTCACCTTAATCGCTAACTTGAGTGTGCAACCACGGAATGCTTTGTTAGCTTCTTCCAAGATCTGATCACCATGGTAAATCAACTTGGTGGAATACCAAGTTAAGAAGAAGACTCCTTTATCAGATTTGTAAGTTCCATTCCTTCTGAAAAATCCTGTATCTTCAGGTCTGTCATTGTATGTTCCGGCATCAGTTGGCAGCTCCCATTCAGGATGTCCTGCTTCTTTTGCTGCCTTCTTGAAGTCTGCTGCCATTTATTTGTCATAACACTGTAAAAAAAACACAAAGGGCATGTCAGAATACAAGTCTGATCAAACAAAATCCGAATCTGAACATAGATGGGCACATTTTACAGACGAAGGGAGTACATATAAACATACTTCATACTGAAGAACTCCATATGTATTACCTGAAATTCTCCAATTCCTGGAAAAACCCATCCTTGAGACTCAGGATAAGAAGAGTATCGTAGCTCCCCTGCTGGACCTGCACCTACTTCGATGTCCACAATGGTTCCAGCCTCAAAGAAGTCCGACATATTCTCTCTAAAACTCTTCATGAAATCGCTGTACATCTATACATACATACATACATACATACATGATTTTCATCAGTACTAGCACATTATTACTTGATCATGTAAAAACACAAAAACAGAACAAATTCTGTATGTACACATGTTACCTGGATGGGTGTTCGGCCCTCAAAGAGAGGTTCATTATCGACACCAAGGGAAAGGTACTCGACGTTCCTAGTACCATCAAGATTGGTATAAAAGACATCGTTGTTGGATCTACCAATGTTGAGAACCCACTCAGGGAGGGGGATAGTGACAACATCCCCTACATTACCTCCACATTGATGGAAAGACATAATAGCTTGGATTTTCAAGCCATATTCCTGCACCACTTGGAACAGACGTCGATAAGCTCTCCAATCGTACTGCTTTGGACCTTGGCCTTCTATTATTCCCCACCACACATCCACCATTATTCCATCTACACCGGCTTCTTTTAGTTTCTGAAGTTGCTTCCTGGTGCCTTCTTCGTCTTTGAATGAATTTCGACGAGATACCACTCCCAACTATACAATAAAAACAAAGGGATGTAAGAGATCACGTTGTAACAAGTTCACACTAATACAAAAAAATGCCTAAAGATCGCGGTTAGTTCTTTCAGTCCTAGGAAGCTAACTGCTAAGTGACTTGAGATCTTGAATCTTTGTTGGTACTCGTACAAAAAGACCATGGTTCCATGCTGTGTAGTTAGAACCATATATGGTCATTAACGCCTGTTCACTTCACGTTATTTTTGCTGAACTGAAATTATTTTTACTGAATTAAAATTATTTTTGCTAAACTAAAATTATTTTTTACTGAATTTCTATTATATTTCTTCTTTAAAATTACTGATTTTAATTTACTGAATTGAAATTATTTTTGCTGAGCTAAAATTATTTTTTACTGAATTTCTATTATATTTCTTCTTTAAAGTTACTGAACTGAAATTATTTTTACTGAATGAAAATTTTGTTTACTGAACTAAACTTATTTTTATTGAATATTACTTTTTTGAAGTGAAGTGAACATGGCCTATGACTGCGGTTTTAGAACACTTGTGGTCATTTTCCAATACATTGCAGTATTGCACGACCACAGTTTTCAGGACTGTGGTCTTATAAAACTACCGCGGCCATCTAGACAGCAGTTCGCCAGGCCAGGCCAGTTCAATCCCTATAATACCGGCCAATATCTTAACCGCGGTCTTATTACACTTAATTATACGTTGTTATGTAGGGTTGTCATTTTACATGCCTATAACAATAATCTGATATTGGTACTACTACGTATAAATTTACAGTACAACAAAAGATGGATTTACTGAAAATAACTTGGAGGGTATATATCCGAGTTGATGATTAGGACTTACTGGTAGCATCACATAGACAGGAACGTAGTTTAAGAGCATCTTGTTAAAGCCCAGCTTCTGCACGTTAGAAGTGCAACAAAACAGGGTTAAAAACATTATATAGTATGACATGCAAGTGCAAATTAAATGAAATATACTAACAAGATGATCTAAATTAGAATTCCTTGGTTTGGTTTGGTTTTTTTTCCTGTTGTTCATTTTATCTACTTGACACGTCTATATACTGTCGCACTTTATTCGTGTCATATTATTGTAAATATGTATGTTGAGACAGTTATAATAATAAGATCCAACATAACATAACTATGGATTTATTATAAATAATCATCAAATGATGGTCAGAAAGTAAAGTGAGTGAATAGTCGCGATAAAAATGAATATGGATCAACTACTTAAAAAAAGAAACGTGTGAAGTATATCGATGTTCTATAATAAAGGACATCACTACTGTATTTGGTGGTAATCCAAGCAAATTGTTTTGATCAATAAGCCTGAAAGTTTCTTTTACAGTTTGATATTTTTTCTCACAAGTGAATTGCACTTTGCATGGTAGACTGTGTAGTATTGTAGTAGTAAACTTTTTTTTTTCTCGAAATTAAAGATAGTAGATATCCCTTTTTTAGAGTGATAGTAGGAAATTAAATCTCATTTACATCATTATTATCATTTGATTTGCGGCTCTTTATATACAAAAGAATATACTTTGTACATAAAATAATAAACTAAAAATGTCAGGATTGAATATGCAAGTCCTCATCTTTATTATTTATAAGTTGCACGTCCAAATATGAATGCATTTTCTAATCCAGACAGTCCAGTAGTAAATTCACCAACATGCATGAGTACTTGTTAAGTACCCATTTTTTTAACCCACTAACGTAACTCAAGCTAGGTTACCATTTTGAGTAGCGAGGGAGAAGAATAAGGAGATCCCTTTCCTCAAAATGTCCCTAATGGAGATCGAACTCCTAACCTCAAAACTAAAAGATTCATTATTTACCACAAAATCAATAGACATTCGAATTTAAAACTATTGAGTATTATTGGGAGAGATTATCTTAAATTGACAAATATATTTGATATATTATACAAATATAAAACAAGTCAGTTAAATGGACAGATAATATAACATGAAGAGCGAGAGTATGTATATATAATAATAAATACCTGGTACTCAAAATTCGGCGTATCCATGATTGTGTTTTTTGCTTGAATTTTGTTTTGCCAACCAAGCTTTGAGCATAAAATAGAGCAAAATTGTA